TATTTATTTGACTCTCTAATAAAAGACACTATGTAACTATTCATATAGATGATAAAAATAAACTAACCATTATAAAATTTCAAAAACAAATTAATGAAACTATAAAATGAAATTATGTAAACTAGGAGAAAATAATGTTATGTTTTGTACTTTTGACTTTTCTTTTAATAAAACAAATGGTAAACTACAATTGAATAACCACTGTACTCTTAAAATAAATTAATATAAAAATACTATAACATCAAAATACAAGAAAATTCTATTCTAATAAATTTTTAAGAAGAATGTTCTAACCGCGCGAAGCGCGGGCCCATTTACTAGTAATAGTAAAAGATTGGATCTTTCTTAATTTGCTGTAAAGGTTTTGAAATTTCTTCTTTTGGCTGTTTGGTCAATTACAGTAAGCTAATCTCATGCTGACTTGTTTTATCATCAAGATTTGTGTGCACATGTGGTGTTTTCAACTTTTGAGTTGGCAGATTTGCTGTCTGATCAATAGTAAACCTACTTTTACAAGTTGAGAAAAAAGTAAGAGAAAAAGCTAACCATTTTGATGTCATTTTGTCAAGTTTTTGAACCATATAGTAAAATTGACACATCCACTCCAGAAAAAGGACTTTGGCCTTTCGAAAACAATAACTATCCTTTAATTGGTCGTCACAAATTAAATCACAAAATTTGTGTACAAACTATGTTAGTCACACATAATTCAAAAAATGTATAAACTAATACACATAAAAAATTATAAAAGTTTTGACTTCATATCTAATGACACAAATAAACTCCATAAAAGTGTCGTACTTTAATAAAGGGAATAATAAGTATCATTCAATAAGTTGCCATCAATAGACTCATAAAATTTGAGTCAGTCACACATATTTTAGAAATTTATTAACTAATACACACAAAACACCAAGATGATCCTAATTCTTGTTTAGTAACACATACATTGAAATCTAAAAGGCGGCATACAGTTATAAAAAATAATGGATATCATTTAATAGGCCGTCAATAATAGTCAATAGATCGACCCTTAAAACTTGAGATTAATCTAAGTCGGTCACACATGCATATTTCAGAAAAGTAATGAACTAATACAAAATAATAAATAGATGATGCTAAATTCTTATTTCGTGACATATAAACTCTCATCAAAAGGTGGCGTGCACCTTACAAAATCAATGAGTATCATACAATATATAGATCGACACCAATGGACCCATAAAATTTGAGCTCAAATAAAGTTGAACACATATTCATTAAAAAATTATAAACTAATACAAACGAAAATTGAATAATTTTGAAATTATGTTTCTTCATACAAATAAACTCCAAAAAAGAGGCTTCCCCTTTTCAAAAACAATGATATCATTCAATAGGTAGTTACCAATGGACTTACAAAATTTGAGCTCAATCAGAGTATGTTACACATTCTAAAAAATTAATAGACTGATAAATAAGAAAATATGAGAGAAACCTAAATTATTGTTTCGTGACATATAATTCAAAAAAAAAGCCATAGGTTCCTTTCAATAATAATAAGTATTATTTAATAAATATCGTTATCAGTGGACCCACAAAATTTGAACTCAAACATAAATGGTCACACTTAATTCAAAAATTTATGAACTTATACACCCGACAAATTAAATAGAGATAAACCTAAATTATTGTTCCATGACACATAACTTTCAAAGAAAGCTGTCATTCGCTTTTTAAAAATAATAATGTGTTTCATTTAATAAA